AATTATAAATTCTGATCTTCTGCTTTATACCCAGGCTTTCATGAGTTTGGCTGAGCAACTTGAGGTGTTTTACACCTTGGCAGCTTTTTCTGGATTTTTAGCTCAGTTCTAGCCCCAGTATTGGGGAGAAAAGCCTCTACAGAGCATTGGGCTTTGAAGAGAGTTTTTGCCAGTTCTTATTTTTGTGGTCAAATATTCTCACTTTTAATTTACCAACTCCACCTTGGTTTCTCTGATGAGAGCTTCCGATTTCAGCACTTACATGAAAATTTAGATGCATTTGCTTTTCTCTTGTAAATTAGTTTATAAGTTTGTTTTTGTAAAATATTGAAAGTATGGTACTTGGATATTATTTCATTTGGCACTTTATGAAAAAATATACTCCAAGGCAAAATATACTGAAAGCTATAGTTTTTCTCATAAGCTATTTGTAGATCATTCTATAAAATGGTTATATCCTGTAAAGATTAAGATTTAATAGCAAAGTATAGTATAATTTACATTTCCATCTATGTGATGGCAAACTGTATTGTTTCATTAAACCTGAAAGGACTGAAATGGATACTACTTTGTGCCAGAATAGTGTTCTGTATTTTTTTTTATGTTTGTACCAAGCCCAAGCATACAAGAAAAAAAAATTGATTCAGCAAAATAATGGTAACTCAGTATTAATTTAGTCAAAATACAAAACTTTTTTACTCTTTGAGTCTAAATATCAGCTGTATCTTGGCATACAATTTTAAGATTTATATTCCCCCCCAAGTAGTACCTAAATGTCAAGGGTATAAAACAAAGACAGCCCTACCTGGTTTGGCTCAGTGGATAGAGCTTTGGCCCCGTGGACTGAAGGGTTTGGGGTTCTGTTTCGATCAAGGGCACAATGCCCAGGTTGTGGGCTTGATCCCCAGGAGGGGGCATGCAGGAGGCAGCCGGTCAATGATTCTTACTCATCATTGATGTTTCTCTCCCTTTCCCTTCCTCTCTGAAATCAACAAAAATATATTAAAAACAAACAAAACCACAAACCATTATTTGTAAGCAAAGTTTGGAAAAATCACAAACAACAACAATTAGCTAGATTATAAGCTTACAACAGGAGGTTGGTTAGTACCATTAAGATTTTGGGCTTTACTAAAACAGCAGTGTTTTTCCTGTGCTTTAGTAAATGCCTAGGATTGAAGTTAGCAGGTTAAAGGTTATGCATTTTCTTCCGTGTGCTGCCAAATTGTTCTCCAGAATAGTTGTATATATGGTTCAGTTTACACCCCCACCCCCCCGAGTATTGGAGTGCTGTGCTATTTCTTGGCACTGAAAGTTGTGATTTTCAAAAATCTTTGTCTTTATTTAAAAATTAACCATGCTTGTTAGTATGCTTGTTACAGTGATTCAATTCAGTAAATATTTCTTGTCTGTTAGTGGTAATACCAAGTTACCCAGACTTCTGGTATTATCTTTGATTTTTCCTTAGTTTTCCTTGGATTCTCTTGAGGTCACTTATATTTTAATCTTATAACTGTATTGTCTGTACTCTTCATTTCTTGCTCTCCTTTCTTGTTTCAAAAAGTTTTTATTTGCATATTAAAAAATTGTGCATACCAATAATTAAAAGGATTTTAACCAAAAGAAAATGGCACTCTGGTTACTCTGCATTCTACAGCCTGCAGGACATCTTGGACCAGCTTGATTTTTACTCTGGAATTCACTGTTGTCCCACCGAGTTTCTTCCTTCACCAACACATGAGTGCTGTTCCTTCCCTGCCAGCCAGACAGGCAGATGGAGAGGCAGGTGCCTGCTCCTTGGTCAGTAGTTCTCTGATGGGAAAAGGGGCAGCTCAGTCACTTAAACTTGATGGAACCTCTTTGCATTTTACAAAGTTAAGCAGTTAAAAGAAGAATGCAATACTTGTGGAATGTATAGTGCATACTGATGGTGCGTGTATGATTTTCTTGCTTGTTTCTCCTGTTCAGTCATTTCTTTTGAAGGCAGTGGTTTTTTTCTCTTGATTTCTGTCTTCAATTTTTTTTTAATATATTTTATTGATTTTTTTTACAGAGAGGAAGGGAGAGAGTTAGAAACATCGATGAGAGTGAAACATCGACCAGCCGCCTCCTGCACATCCCCCACTGGGGATGTGCTCAGAACCCAGGCACATGCCCCTGACCGGAATCGAACCTGGGACCCTTCAGTCCGCAGGCCGACGCTCCATCCACTGAGCCAAACCAGTTTCGGCTGTCTTCAATTTTGACTTACCAAATTTCTCAATCTCAGCCAAATCAGGTTTGTCAGACGTGATTGCAAAAGAAGTGGAGTGAGGCCGAGGACGAGAGGAGTCAGACCTGCTCAGTGGCTGCTGCCGAGCCTTGGTCTCTTTCCTGAAAGGCCTCATGTGACTGACTGGCCTTACAGATTCCCTTTTGTCCTTGACCATCACACACAGTGCTGCTGAATAAATAATCATATTCATATTAAAAGGACAATTGTAGTCCTAGAATGCAAAAACCTGTTGGAAATTCTCTCTACACAAAATCAAACTTTATAGCTTGACTTTTAAGATCCTCTTTACCTTTTGCTTTTAGTTGCCAAGAGATGGCTGTAGGTACCGTTTTCAAGTTTGGTTTAAGGGTAGTCTTTGAAACAATTAAAACCAAGATTTTTTTCCTTTGGCTATAAGAAAACCCCTGTTTTAAATTTTGTGCAGATGTGCCTGAACTTCAGTTTTGTTTCGAACGACCTCATTGGCAAGGGGGAGAATTTCCCCCTCTACTCTGCTTTAGTTTTTTTCTAGACTAATTAGTTCTGGACTAATAATAAAGCTAAAAATAAAACAGGACAAGCTACATAGAAAAACTGATTTAATACATGTGCATGGGAGAAATCACAATATGATGCTCAGATCATAAAATGAAGCTCAAAGAAGTGATTGAACCAGCACCTTTTAATATTTTTTAGACAAACAATTTGTGAAGAATTCACAGGACAGAAAGTTAGTGCTCCTGAGAAAGGAATCTAAGCAAGGTTTGGGTATTAGTGAGGAGCCTGAACAAAGTTTGGACTTGGGTAGTAAATTAATAAAGTGTTTATAGAAGCTCTTTGGCTCTGGATCTCTTAGCTGTAGTGATAAGGGTGTCTCTCAGCCCTCCTGGAGCAGGGAGGACACCTTTCACAGGGGAGATTTATTTCCTGCACTTAAGGAGACAGTGGAGGGTCAAGGTGCTCTTCTGTCACTGGCTGCTTGTCAAGTAACCTTAATTCAAAGTAATCAATATGCCATTAGGGGACATTTTGGGGTGGCCTGTCTCAAGCCCAGCATCCTCTTCAGGAGAAAGAAGGTGAGTAATCACTTCTGCGATTACTGTGGCGTACTTCTTATACTGAAAAACTAAAGCCCTTTTAATTTATTAAACCTATTTTTTTTAAAATATATTTTATTGATTTTTTACAGAGAGGAAGGGAGAGAGATAGAGAGTCAGAAACATCGATGAGAGAGAAACATCGACCAGCTGCCTCCAGCACATCCCCCACTGGAGATGTGCCCGCAACCCAGGCACATGCCCTTGACCGGAATCGAACCCGGGACCCCTCAGTCCGCAGGCCGACGCTCTATCCACTGAGCCAAACCGGCCTCGGCTATTAAACCTATTTAATGAAACAGCCATTACACTAGATACACATGGTACACAAATCAAAAGACAAAAAAGAGTACGTAGTGAAAACTTTCATTTCTGTCTTCAACCACCGTCTTCCCAGAGGCAGTCACATTACTCTTTAATGTTTCCTTCTGGACCTGTTTTAGGAAGCACTGCTTCCTGTTAAAGAAACAAATAAAAACCAACCCAAGTCACTGAAAGGCCTTTTAATTATGCAGAGGTCCATGCTTTTTGGTGTGTGTGAGGTTGGGAGTGGGCCAAATGACTGAAGGGAGTCAAAACTACAAACTTTCAGTTATAAAATAAGTCTTGGGCATCTAGTATACTATCGTTAATATTGTATATTTGAAAGTTGAGAGAGAGCTTAAAAGTTCTTATCACAAGAGAAAATATTGTAACTATATGATCACTTACATGAACATAGAGATAGAAAGTTGAAGGGTAGTTGCCAGGGAATGGGAGAGGGGGAAACGGGGAGTATTGATGGGTATATACTTTCAATTTTTCAGGATTAAAGTTCTAGAGATCTGTTGCACAACAGTGTGAATATACTTAATACTACTGAACTGTACACAAAAATTCTTGAGATGGTAAATTTTAAGTTATGGTTAAAAAAAAGCGCTTACATATATAAACTGTTGATTTTACAAAGATTTCAGATTTCCGACCAAATTTTTTGGTCTCCTACTAAAAGGAGTTCCAATGGAAGCATGTTTCTAGTTGTTGTGTGTCTGAGTTTACTCCCGTTTCTAGAGTACTGTGTGTTTGGTTGTGTGTGCGTGGGTGCATGTGTATGTTAAGTGAGAAAATAGAAATAATATAGGAAGAGTGGGCCTGGATCACCTGGCTGTTCTTGATAGGGTCTGCTAGAGTGGCAGGGGCTGTCAGAGGGCGGTGAGGGGCGGTTGGGGACTGCCAGACCATGCTGAGTGGAGCCTGCGGCAGGTGTGGGACACACGCACCACTTTCAGCGGTCTTCATAGGTGCCTGCTCTGTCAGGATGGGGGAGCTGCCCTGCATCTTCCACCTGGGGCTGCTGTAGTTCTTGGTGTGCCCGCCCTCCAATTCAGATATCCATGCTTCTGAATTTAACGAGCTAGATGTGTTAGGAAGAAGACAGCTAGTTAATAATAGTTTTGACATTTTTTTGTTCTGTTTGATGGAGGAAAGAAATTTTGTTCCAGCTAAGCCTGTTTAGCACTCTTTTTACTTTAGAAAACTACTTTCCAGCTACGTGTGGGAAAATTTGCAGGTTGTTTATGTTGAGTTGGTAAAGTAAAAACTTAATGTTATGAATTAAACATCATTATCAATTAACATTTAATTGTTTTAATTGCGATTATACATTTGTATGTTTGATTACATCATTGTAGTTTGTCATGACTGATTTTTATGATGAGAGCTGTGCTATTTTGTTGAATTTCTTGAGGCTACATTGCCTTTCTCCCCCTTTTCCCAGCAATTATTAGTGGATGTAACTTTAAAACTGTGGACTATCAGTGAGCATTAGATCCAAGAGAATAATAATGAAATATGCTCTCTCAACTGAAATATTGAAGAAGTGATATTGATTAAGTGATTTGGAGCATTGTAACTAATCCCATATGTGTCAGAGCAAAATATCTTTTTCCCCCATTGAAGTTCCTTAAAATTCTTTTACATCAAAACTTAACAGCAATGATTTAAATTCTGTTTATTATTTGACTTAGCCAGTTATGAAATAGAACCCCAATCCCACTCGAGTCATAAAATGTGTTAAATTTAAGGCTAATGCTGCTTTCTGCTTTTTGAATTTACATTTTGGCAATAACTACCTTCTTTGTTCAGTGTTAGAAGAAATGATCTAGGCTTAACCAAATAAGAAAACTGCCAAGTTCACAGATGAGTCTTTGAAAGATGCCAGAATTAAATGAAAGTCTAGATATTGATTTTACAGAACATGCTAAGGGGAGATTCTGTGACATTACAGTTTCTTTGAGACTAAAATTCTTTTACAGTAATAGCTGTTCTTTGATGGTGACTGATGTGAGAAATTCAGGCTGTGGACCTTACCTCCCAGAATCTATGAAACTGGAATAAAGCCTGCTAGGAATCATGCATCCTGCCCTGACCTCTTCAACTGGTCAGCAACTGGTGTAGTTTGGGGTTTGTCATTTTATTTCAGACTTTTAAGAATCTTCGGAGTGGATTTAGTCTTTATTTTTAGCAAGGATAATGATGTTTATAAGGAAACATATATTTAAAATATATATACATACATACAAACACATGTACACACAAATATTTTGAATAAATCAGTTTAATCTCACTTTTGACTTGAATACAGATTTTTAAAATGTCCTAAATCCCTGTAGGTTGATATGACTAATAAATTTTAACAAAAATATAAGGTGGTGTCAGGTGGTTGATTTTTAATAAGCATTTACTAAGTTACATCGTTTGAGGAATAGACTGTACGTTGTGGGGAGACAAGTCTCAGTGCCATATCTTGCATATTCTAGTGACTCACTAAATATTTGTTGGATAGATGGTTGGATGAGTGGAGGAGGTTAGATGGAATATTTAGTCTAATAATAGTAGTTGTAATTTTTTGCTGAGAATTTAATATGCACTGTGTACTTTGGATGTCGTTTTAATCCTTGCAATAATGCTATAGGTAGTTACTGACTGACTTATCTCTGTAGGATTTTCATACCTGTTTTAGCTCATAGCATCTCCCTCTAACCAGCGTCTAACAATATTTAATAGGATCATATCTAAAATACGGTTGTGATCACAAAATACTTGATTTTCTTTTTTTATTAGTTTTAGTGGTAAAATGTTTTAATAGTTTCAGCATTTCTTCATCTGTGAGTTTTTTAAAAAGATAACAAGTAGAGTCAGCATTTGCTAGGTACACCATACAGGTTGCAATCTCTGAGCATTCTCAATGAACTCAGCTTTATAAAGGTAGGCTAAAATGATAGATGGTATTATACAATATAAAATTACTTTGTCCCTAATAATTTTACTGGTTTTCAACATCCTTTTTATGTGTATTACAAGGATGGTGGGAAACCCACTGCTTTCCTGGTGAAGATTTATTATCATTAGTTTGCACAAAGTTTGAGTTCATAGTTTGCTGATTTATAATTGGCTTATGTTAGGTTTCTCTTAAACAAATCTCTCTGCTTGTTAAAAACCAATCTATGCTCCCCTGATAGTGTGTACATATACATATTTTCTGGTAATTTGTATATATGGGTGCAGTAGCAAATTTGAATAGTTGAAGAGTAACCATAAAAACAGGAGATTAGAATTTAAAGTCAGCTGTTCTAAAATATGAGCCTTGTGATAGCAAAGGCCTTATGTGTTTCAGTTTCATTTTCCCAGGGCCTGGCAGAAGTAACTAGCCTTCAAAGTTACTCAGCAAGTAAATATCTAGAGGAATGTATTAAAGAGTGAACAAAAGAATTTGAAAATTGCAGAATTCTGGTGATTCTGGGTGGGGCTTTCAAATATTTCTGTAGTAACTAGTTTTTGTAGACATCATGTTTGATAGAAAATTATTCTAATTTATCAGACAGCATAATTTTTATTTTGGCCAGATTTAAATTGTTCCTTGGTACATGAAAGTTTTTGATAAGATTTTGGTAGAAAGGTCTTAGTGATTCTGATAAATGTTCCTTTTTAGAGCGGATGGAAGATTTTATTCCTCATGCTTATTAACTCAGATTTTAGGTTTATTGACTTCTGGTATAATTAATTTGGATATTTTAGGTTATTTTTATTTATCTTATAATATCAAGAATACTTTCTGTCTTAGAAGTGGCTGTGTTGCTTGTATGTAGCCTTTTTGAAAAAAGCCCACACTTAAAAAAATAATGTGTTCCTTAGAAATTACAAAATAGTCTGCTTTGCTCTTTCAAATTGTCTGCACTGAATAATAATAATAGAAAAAAATTGGTTCTTCTTGAGTAATTTCAGCAGACAGGACATCTGTTTACTATCTTGCAAGTTGGGATTCCTTGCTAAGATCCGCCCAGCCTAAGAATGTGTAAACCTCAAAGCTGGAGATAGTTCTAGAGACAGCTGACCTATTCATAGAACAATACTCTTTGGGGCAAATCAGGTAGGTTAATAAGCATTTAGAGCCATACTATGACAGTTTGGGAGGTGTAGAAGAAGTTGGTAATTTAAGGTTCTGCTGCTCAGTTTCCATTCCTTTAAGCATAATTTATAGAAAAATCCTTATTTACCCACAGTTTTATAGGATAAAGGAACCTGGTCAGCATTAATACGTAAGCAGTCTTAAATATGGGTCAAGCCATGAAGCCTAAAAGTCTTTGTTATGGGACACTTGAATGCTTCTCAGATGGGTTGCAGCAGCACTTTTCCTCTCATTTCTATACTGTGGAGATTCTTGCAAGGGCTTGAGTACCGCTCATGAGGGGGTGATATTTATGCTTTTATACTAGTAAATAAAATGTTCACTTTTATGCCTGCAATTCTCAGTGTACTCACTTTTCAGCAACACAGGGAGTCTTAAAACAGGAAAGGAAAGTTGTGTTTCAACCAGTATGTGCATTGTAATCACCTGAGGAGTTAAAACAGAAAAGGAAGGCTGGTTCATACTCTCATTAAAAGTTAGAATGAAGCCCAGCCAGCATGGCTCAGTGGTTGAGCATCAGGAGGTCATGGTTCCTGGAGGAAGGAACCAGGAGGTCATGGTTCGATTCCTGGTCAGGGCACATGCCCTGTAAGGGGTGTGCAGGAGGCAGCCGATCAATGATTCTCATCATTGATGTTTCTATCTCTTCCTCTCGCTTCCTCTATGAAATTAATAAAAATATATTTTAAAAAAGTTAGAATGAACTAGAATTTTAGAATAACCTGCAGAATCGAAAACCAAAAATAGGAAGAAACACCCCCCCTCCCCCAAACAACAACAACAACAACAAAAAGAAAAAGAAAACAATATAGGAGTCTCAGCTCAGGTCAATTAACTCTGAGTTTCAGAGGTTGGGGTCAGCATCAGTTTCTTTTTGTTTGTTTTGTTTTTTAAATACTGATGACTGTACTGCTCCTCTTCATTTAAGGCTCCTCAGGTCATTTTGATAAGCTGAGAACAAGTGCTGTTATAAAGCTCCGGAGTATGTGGGGTCATTTGTGACACTTTATAAACCAAATCTAATATAGGAGCATGTTTTTGTTTTGGATAACTATTAAGCTTTCCATATATCTATTTTTAAGTAAGAACAAAAGCAGTATGGAATCAATAAACAAGATTAATTAAAAGCATTAGCACTGTTTTATGGATAGAAGCATGTGATTGGTTGGAGGGAGAAAAAAGACACGGAGCAGGACAGAAAGGGAACTTCTGTGACAGAACGTGTGGCTTGTGAGAATAGTGCTGGTGATTATTAAAAGCTGCATTGCATTCTTGCAACTAATGGAGGTTTACTGCTGATGCTACTTAACTTCTAGTGATTAGGGCAGGACAAACTTGACCTCTAGCACCATTCCCTATAGCCGTGATGGCGAAAATATGACACGCAAACTAATTTTTTTAGTTGATCTTTCTTTGTTAAATGGCATTTAAACATATAAAATAAATATCAAAAATATAAGTCATTTTTTTTACTATGGTTGCAAATATCAAAAAATTTCTATTTGTGACACGGCACCAAAGTTAAGTTAGGGTTTTTCAAAATGCTGACACGCCGAGCTCAAAAGGTTCGCCATCACTGCCCTATAGTCTTGTCTTACTCCCTCACCCTGTAACTCCACACTGAACTACTCCATGCACAAAGTACTGCTTCTGCCACCTAGTCACAGAGATTTCTTCCAGACCTGTTGCCACTGCATTCTATCAGTTTCAGCCTTCTTATTATAAACACTTATGGGACACTTAAAGTTACTGATTTATTGTGAGCTACTCTAACTAAAAGTACTTTGGGAGTCAGAAGTGAGATCACCTTTCTGATTTAACCTGTACGATTACCTGTTTCCTTATTTATCAAATAAATGGGAAAATAATATTACTGACTTCATAGAGTGGTTATAAGAATTATTTGAGTCATTGCATGCAAGATAGAGGACTGCTTGACATAACATAAATGATCGATAAATGTTTACCATTCACTCCTTCAGCAAATGTATTTTGAGTATCTTTCATGTGCCAGTACCTGTGGTAGGCACAGGTGAGTAAAGCATCTCTTCATGAGCAGAACATTGATTCAGTCACTTTTAAGTAGCCATAATCTATGGAACGTTTTTATGTATACAGTAAATTTCTGGTTATTTACATAGAATATTAAAAGCCCTTCCTGTATGTCAATTAGTTACTTTTGATCAGGGATTTCTTTTGAACATCTCTCAAGTTTGTAATATAATTCCACTACATTATTTTTGAACAAAAGAATTGAGATTTTTAGTGTATGTGAAATAGGGAGGCCATAAAATGTCGGATTGAAGAATGTCAGCTTAGTTTTGATAAAAATGGTATTTTTCCCCTCAGAATGCTTTATTTCATCAGATTATATTAAAATGGCAAGATCATATACACTGAATGGCCAGATTATTATGACCACCTGAAGTTTGTAGGCAAATTAGCTATAATTTCGCACTGAAGTTGCTAGAGGGCAAGACCATTATAAATAGGGAAGCAGGTTGTTTACCAGGACAGTAGAAGTGATTTTTTTTCTGAAGATAGGGATAAACAACGCGATTTAACAGCCTCAAAGGCTGGTAAACAACCTGCTTCCCTATTTATAATGGTCTGGCCCAGGGGTCCTCAAACTTTTTAAAATACAATATTTGTATTTGCATATGGCCCACGGGCTGTAGTTTGAGGACCTCTGGACTCTGGCCCTCTAGCAACTTCAGTGCGAAATTATAGCTAATTTGCCTACAAACATCAGGTGGTCATAATAATCTGGCCACTCGGTGTATACTCTAGTTGGAAATTATTTTAGTGCTCATCATGCCTTTCCTGAAGGCTTTTTATTTTGGACAGCCACAAATGCTAGAGAGAATTCATCCTTAAAGTGGAAAACTTCTTTCCTGAAAGGATTATCTGTCCTAAGCTTGCCTTCTAAAACAGTGGTCCCCAACTTTTCGGACCTCGCGGACCACCGGTTGGCAACCGCTGTTCTAAGACACATCCTCTGGTGCCTCAGTATTTGGAAAGTGCTCATTGTGATTGTCCCTACTCGAGAGAAATTTTAATTCATTGAACTTGTCCTCCT